AAGCTATGCTTAGTCATGTGAGGAAACCAAGTAACCAGAGGCAAAAAACAAACAAACAAAAGAACAGTCAAAAGCATCTAGACTATTAGAGGTACTTAATCTGATTTAAGGATAGATTTCAGGGAGTTCAGGAACTGGATGGGGAAAAATTCATTTTTATTTTTATTAGCCTCTACCAAAATTTGGGATTTTTTTCAATTATTTAAAAATATCATTCTGACAGGGGGTCCTTAGGTTTCACCAGACCCTAATAAAATAAAGTGAAGAACCCCTGATTTAGATGAAGATCAAGAGAGAAAGAGAGATATTATTGTTAAAGCATAATACAGAGTACATGGGAAGAATAAGGAAATAGAAAAAAAGAATTTGGGAAACTGGTCATAGGCAAAGGGGTCTTAATTTATCCAGGTTTCTAGAGGTGCTCTTGCCATAAGCAGAGCAATTAATTACCGTATAGAAGATAGCCGTCTTTAAGTATTTAAAATGCTGTCATGAAGAAGAAGGATTACATTTCTTCAGTTTGGTCCTGAGGCAGGAATCAGGAGCTATGGGAGGAAATGGCAAATTCAGGATTGATGTCAGGAAAAACTTTCTGAGAATAAAGAAAGAAAGAAAGAAAGAGCTGTCTTGGGAGCTAGTACCTTTGGGGTCTTCAAACAGAGGCTAGGACAATTTATCAGGTGTGCTATAGAAGGGATTCTTTGGGGGGTTATGGGTTGAAATAGATAAATTCTAAGGTTCCTTCCAACTCTAAAATTCTGTGATTCTGTGAAACAGGATGCAGATCCATCCCATGTAGATAACTGAGATTTCACTACAATTATCAAACTACAGTGGGACTCTGGCAAAGAATAGCTGGGCATTTTCCTGCATGTGTGCATATGTGTGTGTGCATGTGGGGGGCAGTTGATACTTTTTCATGTAAAGGAACAACCAGGGTAGAAGACTTTGGAGACTGTCAAGCACCTTCCATAGCTTTGCCCAGTTTTCACACAGGAAACAGATTCATCCTCCTCTGTCTTTGGTGGAGTCAGACTTAAGTTTACTTGACTTTACATGGAGTGACGAAGCACATATATGAAGCATACAACTTAGGATGAAGGCTGAAGTAAATAGCAATCCTTTTGTCCTTACAGATAAGGGTGATGATCATTATCATGATAATGAATAGCTAACATAATAATGTTACATAATAATAATAGCTAACATGTATATGGCACTTACCATGTGCCAGTTTAGAAATATCTCCTCTCCAAATGGATTAATTGTGCCCGACCTATGGCAGAGAGTTCTGAACTCATAGTGGTCTAGGCAGCCACAGCCAGAGACACTGTACCATGACTCCAACAGAGAAAAAGGTAAAACCAGAATGATACTACCCCAGGTAGAACTGAACTACAGCTTAGGTAAGTTAATCAATTTATTCAGGTCACACTGTAATTTGAGGGTGAAGCTGGAATGAAAATTCAATTCTCCTTACTCCAAGTCCTGGCTTTGATGGGATTGTTCCAATGGGGGAGAAGGATCACTAAAAGTAATACAATTATATTTTCTTTCACAGGTACTTTGCTGGTAAATTGAGGGGATTGGAATGTGAATTCTAAGGGTTGGCCAGCTCTAAACTTCCCTGTCCAAATATTTTGAATCATCAGATTTCTCCAACACCTCCAGTGAAAGAAATTTTAGAGTGGAGAAGGTGGGCCTAAGAAAGGGCAATGATTACACCTCAGATGAAATGATATGTAAATAAATCCCACCACAAACTGGGACTACTTGTGGAAAACATTTATCACAATGGTTCCTGGTGTCTTTAGGGCAAGAGTTTCCTCAACACTCAGAAATGGGAAAACAGACAAGTTTCCCAGAATCACAGTCTCAGAATAGAAAGGGACTTCAGCTATGCTCTACTAAATGCTGCATACCTAAGTAGAGAGTCTCCTTCACATTTCCAATAAGTGATCTTGCAGACTCTGCTTGAGGGCTTCTACTGATGGAGAGCTCATTACCTCACAAAGCAACCAAATCCGATTTGTGGAAATTTCCCTCTATTTTGAGCCCTAGCATTTCCTTATCCCAGTTTTGGCTCCCTCTTCTTTTATCCAGGGCTTTGGAGAGATGAGTCCATATTTTCTGTTGAACAACCTGGTTTTGTTCCCATCCTCCACCTCCTGGTGATAGATAAAGTGAGATACTTGGTTGAGCCTGAATACTAACTTCATTGGTTTTCATTGTGTCTCAAGTCTCACTCTGAGATTCCCTTCAGGGGTATGAAAAAGAAAAAAAAAACTTTTCAGAGTAGGCTGGAAAAATCCCTCAGGTGACAATAAGCAGGACTTCTAAGGTCTAAGGCCATATCTTGAACCTCCTTCCTGGAAAAAAGGCAGGCAGTAGGTTCCCACATAGGCCACCAGCATTGACCTCATTGTCCTCTGGGACATAGTTCTCTATTTTCAATTCTTATTGCTTTTTAGAAATCTTTTTCTCCATCTCTTGTTGACTCCTTATTGAATTTCCCTTTTTGACCATTCCAAATCTCTCCAAATCTCCTCAATTCTATCCTACCCCATCCTTACTCTTAAGAGATGGAAAACTTCCTTCTTATAAACAACTAAGTGGTACTAATGCTAGAGCACTGGACTTGTAGTCAGGAAGATCTGAGCTTCAAATGCTAGCTGTGTGACCCTGGGCAAGTCATTTAACCTTTGTGTGCCTCAGTTTCATCATCTACAAAATGGAGATTATAAGAGTACCTGCCTCGCAAGGTTGTTGTAAGTACCAAATAAGATATTTGTAAAGCGCTTTACAAATTTTAAATCACTCTACGAATGCTGATTATTGTCATTATTTCTTTGCTGAATGCATCTCTGTCATACAATCTCAATTTTCTTCCTCCTCCTCTCCTCCTGTCTCTTAGTCTATAGCTTCCCTCATCTTTACTAAGGTTTACCCTTTTTTTGTGTCTTCAGTCCCATCCTCACCTACTACCACTAGTGCTTACTCCACAATTATCCTTCTCTCTTTAGTATATTCAATTTCTCTCCACAGGTTCCTTGTCCTTTGCCTACAAAACACAATTTGGTCTGTCTATCCTATTAATGAAACAAAATAAAATTTCTCCTCCTCACTATCACTTATATGATTATCTTGTTTCTCATTCCATTTTATCTCTAAACTTCTAGAAAAAAGTTGTCTGTAACTGCTTTCTCCATTTCCTTGCCACCCATTCACTCCTCAATCTCTAGTATTTATTTCCTGTCCCCAGTCCACTTAAAATGCTCCCTCAAATATTATCGATAACCTCCTTATCAAAGACTTGCTCCCACTTAAAATTCTTTCCACCTTTTATTTCCATGGCACTATACTCTCCTGGTTCATTTATTCAACTAAAGTTTCATGAAAAAAATTGTTAGGTCAATTAGATCAATCAACAAATACATGCTATGTGGAAAGCTTTGGGTTAGGCACTAGGTGGTAAAAAAGGAGAATTCAGATATCTGACCCCAAGGAGTTTATGATTTAATGAGAATAATAGAAATAATAATAATAATAATAATAATGATAGCTTAGTCCTCTGTCACCTCCTTCTTTCTCTCCCCTCATGATTCTTCTTCCACTGCTACTTACATAAAGTTATACCACCAGCTCTCTTCTATTCACTCTCTACGGTCATTCCTTCAGTAAGCAAACTAGGTGTATTTTGACTGTCTTACCAATGCTTCAAATTTAAGATGCCTCAAACCTACAAATCATCTTACCCCAAACCAATTATTTTTCTGTACTTATTCATTTTTTTCTTATTTTTTTAGTAGTTTTTCTGTTATGTCTGACTTTTTGTGACCCTATTTGGCATTTTCTTGGCAAAGATACTGGAGTGGTTTGCCATTTCCTTCTCCAGCTCATTTTATAGATGAGGAAACTAAGACAAACAAGGTTAAGTGACTTGCCCAAGGTCACACAGCTAGTAAGCATCTGCGGCCAGTTTTGAACTCAGGGAGATGAATCTTCCTGACTCCAGACCTGGTACTCTATCCACTGCACCACCTAGCTCCCTCATTTTTTAATGTTAATGACACCATTATTCTCCTGATCCACTAAACCTAGAAACCTTAGAATCATATTTCACTTCTCCCTTCTTTGCCTCTTTGCCTCATAATCATTTGCAAACCCTACTGGTTCTACCTTCTCACTACTTCTCATCTTGCTCTTTCTTTTACATTGTCAATACCTATTTCAGCCTCTTATCTGGATTCAAGTGCTCTTCCTACCTCCAATCTCTTTATCTTCCAACTCATCCTATGTGCTATCACTGCCATAGGAATCTTCCCATAGAACACCTCTGATTATGCCCTCTCTCTCAAAAACTTTCAGTGGTTTTCTATTGCTTAGATAAGTAAATACAACTCCCCACTCAAGACCCTCCATAATCTAGCTCTCACCTCCCTCTCTAGAGCATCTCATTCCCAACTACTTTTCTATGTCTACCCTGTGATGCAGCCAAATGGAATTATTCATTTTTTTGAACATATGCCATGATTCTTTATTTCCCTGCTTTTTTTCCCTCATGCTCTTTCTCTACTTAGAAAGTATAAATAATCCAAAGTACGATATCCACCAGAAATGATTGATTCTTTGTTTTGGTTTTTCCAGAGTATGAAGGGAACTGCACTACAGACCCAAGACTGAGCCTTGCCCCTTTCTCTAACTTATTTTATGACCTTAGGTCACTAAAGTTTCCTTATCTATCAAATGGGTGTTATAATCTAATAGACTACCTATTTCCCTTGGGGTTTACAAGAATCAAATAAAAACAAGGATAATACTCCCCATTCCCAACCACTGCTACTCCTCTTTTTGGAACTAAATGGGGTTTTCTTTTATCAGCTTTCAAATAGGCTTCAAAGAGCTCTCCTTTGTATGCTGACACCTGCCAACAATCAGAGAACAGGTTGTCATGTCTCCCAATGATATGCTCAAGGATCTACTTGTCCCCACAGCTAACTATGAATGCCAGGCCCGAAAGGGAGGACAACCGGACAGCCACCACCCAATTCATCCTCCTGGGATTCCCCACACAGCCTGCCATTCAGCTACTCCTCTTCTCCCTCTTTCTGGTGGCTTACCTGCTGACCTTGCTGGAGAACTTCATGATCATCCTTGCCATCCATAGTGATGGACAACTCCACAAGCCCATGTACTTTTTCTTGAGCCACCTCTCCTTCTTAGAGATGTGGTATGTCACTGTCATCAGCCCCAAGATGCTGGTGGATTTCCTCAGTCATGACAAGAGCATCTCATTTGCAGGCTGCATGACCCAGCTCTACTTTTTTGTTACCTTTGTCTGTACTGAGTACATACTCCTTGCTGTCATGGCCTTTGACCGCTATGTAGCCATTTGCAACCCACTCCGCTACCCAGCCATTATGAGCAACCAGCTCTGCTGTGCCCTTGCTGGGGGCTGCTGGCTCTGTGGCTTAATGACTGCCATGATCAAGATGGTTTTCATTGCTAGACTCCGCTACTGTGGCATGCCCCATATCAACCACTACTTCTGTGACATCTCCCCACTCCTCAATGTCTCCTGTGAGGACTCCTCCCAGGCTGAGCTGGTAGACTTCTTCTTGGCTCTGATGGTTATTGCTGTTCCACTCTGCGTGGTGGCGGCATCTTATGTGGCTATCATCACCACCATCCTAAAGATCCCTTCTGCCCCGGGCCGCTACAAAGCCTTCTCTACCTGTGCCTCTCACCTCACAGTTGTCACTCTCTTCTACTCCACCACCCTCTTCACCTATGCCCGACCCAAGCTCATGTATGCCTACAATTCCAACAAGATGGTGTCTGTGCTCTACACAGTCATTGTCCCACTTCTCAACCCAGTCATCTACTGCCTGAGGAACAGAGAGGTAAAGGTGGCCTTGAAGAAGACCATTCTTTGTAGAGCTGAGGGGACTGAGGAGGACAGGGCTTTGCATGTTTGACTGTCAAACAGAGTCTTTTTGGGTCAGTGACAGAACTGAATCTTTGCCTGATAGCTTCCTGGACCACATGCACTTAGGTTATTGCTTTTTCTATTTTCCATAAATTTCTAGTTCTTAGTTGCCAATTCTCAGAAGTTGGTGCCCACCATGAAGAATTATAGAACATGAGCATTAGAAGGGATCTCTAAGGTTGCCTACTCCTTCTTTACTCTTGAAGAAAAAATATGGGATAGTGAAGAAGCCTTAGAATCAGAAGATTAGTGTTTAAAGCCTGACTCTCCCACTATCTTTGAACAAGTCATTTAATCTTTCTGACTCTATATTTCATCATCTGTAAAATGGGGGTCGGATGGGGTGGGATGATAAAATGTGCTATCTACTCAAAGAGATTTTTTTTCTGGTTCCATATCAACTTTATTTCTGTAATTTGATTTAAAAAATAATATTTTATTTTTTCCCAATTATGTATAAAGGCAATTTAAAATACTAATTTAAAAAATGTTTTTGAGTTCCAAATTTTCACCCTGCCTCTCCCATTTCCCTCCTCCCTTTGGCAGAAAGCAACTTGATTTAGGTCATATATGCGTGATCATGTAAAACATATTTCCATATTAGTCGTATTCACAGAGATGTTTGTAAGAATCAAAAGAGAAAATATATGCAAGGTACTTTGTAATTCTGAAATACTTTAAAAATGTAAGCTTTAATCATTATTATTATTTATGAGTCCCTAGAAAATTCAAAGAAATCAGTCTGGATATTTGAATAATCTCTAGCATTGGAATTTGGAATCTGCCTTGCTTTTGCCATATCTTACTACATCTCCACAGCACTTAGTCTATATCTGTAGTCACCTTGACATGTTTCAAAAGAGATCCTGTCATAAAAGGTACATAAGGACTTGAGGTGTGGGCAATAGGATGGTTTCTTTAGTTGATCCCTTGGGGATCAAGACTAGCCATCATTAAACCTGCTTCCTGGTTTTCCATTGTCAGCATCATGGTCAAGGATCCCTTACAGGACAAATAGTCCTTAGCATAGGATGATGTGGTAGAAATGCATTTGAATTTTTCTTGTAAAGAGAAGACAGCTGTGAGTTAGTGGGGGTGGGGGGAAGGAGAGCAGATTCACCAGTCACTCTAAGGGGAACTGAGCTCAATTAAAAGTTTCAATTATTTTTTCAATCACAATTCAACTCTGCCTTTCTCTTAAGAGAGACAACGTGCTATAGTGGCAAGGTTTAAAGTCAGAGAGCTCGGCCTTGAATTCTAGCTCTGCTATCTTACTAGATATGTGATTTTCAGTAAGCCATTCACCTGCTTTTCTTGGACAAGTTCCTGAACTTTGTGAACCTTAATTTCCTTATCTACAAAATTAGGACAAATGCATACTATCTACCTTATAAAGGCATTGCGAGGAACAAGTGATCCACCAATCCACCCTTCTATTAATCAATGAACAGGAATCATCTACTATGTATGGATATCATACAAAGCTCTGAGGATAGAAAGACAACACTGAGCCAGTACCTAACATCAAGTAACTGACATTCTGCTAGGAAGGTACAGCATGATCACATATGAGTAAATACAGAATCTTTACAAAACAAAAATACAGTGACTTGAATTTGGGACACCAACAACTAGAGTAATAAGGACAGGCCTTTTTGAATAAGGTAGCACTTGAGTTGAGCCTTGGGAGCTAGGATTTCCAAGAAGTAGAGATCAGGAGGGAGAACATTTTGGGTGTGGTGGGTAACCTATACAAAGACACTGAAGGTAGAATGTCATGTACAGGGAACATCAAATAGCCACATTTGTATAGCATCTATATGTCTAAAGAGCTAGAGAAATGTGAGCTCTTTTCTTGTTTCACAAATGAGAAGTCAAGAAAGAGCTTAACTCCTCAACCTGCTGTCCTCATATCAATAGATTAAAATGATCCCAAATTATAATAAATTAATTAAACAGGGAATGAGGGAAAGTGGACAGTGTAAGACCTTTAAAAGAGAATAGTCTATCAGACCAGAAATAAAAAAGGGCAAGTAGATAATAGTGCAAGGTGGGGGGAGGGAGACAAAAAAAAAAACAACCAAACAAAAAATTGATACTATGAACAGATATTTTAATTTAAAATTCCAAAGAAAAGTCAAAAGAAAAAAAAAGTATATATATTTATTTTATATATGTATACATATGTGTGTATGTCTATGAAAGTGTATACATAAACATACATTATGCATTATATGTATAATGTGTATATATATAATGTATATATAATATATATACATATGTATATGTATATATTATACATATGCTTGTGTAGATTTTAGGCTTTACTAATGAAAGACTATAAATGATCATGATAGAAAAAATCAAATTTAGCAATCATAACTTTGAATTTTAATGTACTGAATTCACTGTCTAAAGTTGAATGCCTTTTAAAAGCAGCAAGTCATGGGACACCATAATTATACACACACACACACACACACACACACGTATATATATGCATACAATGTGTATACATGTATGTGCACATACATACATAGATATAAACATACAGATGTGTATATATCTGCATGTGCTTATATATTTGTACATATACATACATACACATACATACACACATGCACATTATATAATACATACACAGATACCCACATGTATAAACTTTAACAAAAACCCAAGACCTAAAGGAAGAACCTCAGAAAAGATACATCCAATTGGATAATAAGCACGTTAAAAGGAATGAAGGAGAATTTGGTGGTGTTCAAGAAAGTTTAGATGTTAGCAAAGCAAAATCTGACTATCTGTAGTAAAAAATTGCCATCAGTAAATAACGTGTCAAAAATAGAGAAAATGATGAAAATAAGAACAATGCCATGGAATGATTTGGGAAATAAACCTTTAAAGCACAAGTCAAATGAGCAGAAGTTGCAGGAAATGCAGCAAAATCTCCCTCCAGATTGAACTAGGAATAATACACGAAGGTTCTAATTCAATTTATAAAATGCCAAGAAGCAAAATCATTTTGAATGACAATAGCAAATGGGCTAAGGGTGTGTGTTACTAAATGAATAGACAAATAACATTTATGTACTTAATAAAGCTTCCACAACAACAATCTTTTTTAATGGAATCATGGAAATGAGTAATTCTTTGATTGCTAGTATCACAAATATTCAACAATAAAAGTGGGACAGTGAAGAGGTAAGTGGGAAATCTTAAAAATGATACTCCTCCCTGGGTAGGGGAGGAGGAGGAAGAGAGAATAAACACTAAAATGTATTTAAACAAAACTACAGACTTCATTAAACCCATTCAGAAATTTGGATTAGTGTTGGTGTATGCCCCTTATGAGTGTTCTCTATATTTATTTGTAAGGAAAATGGAGAAGCAACGGAAAGCTTAAATAATTTTTTTTTAAACTGCATTAAGAAATAGGACCAATAAAGAAACTGGCATTACAGCTATGGAATTATTTTAGGGTAAGTGTCTGTATGTATTTATAAAAGTTAGGATCAGAAATGTGAAATGTGAGAGGAAGTCTACAAAGAGGTTAGGGTTAGCTAAGTAGATTTGAGAACAATCAACATAGAGACGATAATTTAATCCCTGGAAATTGGTGAGATTACCAGGTGAAATGATCTACAGGAAACAAAAAAAAAAAGGTGCTCCAGGGGATACTTGTTGTTAGCAGGAGTGTCATGAATAAAAATCCAGAAAAGGACATGGAGGAGTAGTCAGATAAGGAGAAACAGAAGACAGGAGTGTCACAGAAACCTAGAGAGAAGTATCATGTAGAAGAGCACAGTTACCAATGTCAAAGGCTGCAAAAAGATCAAAGGGGATAAGGATTGAGAGAAGGCCATTAGATTTGGTAATGAAGAGATCATTGGTAACCTTGGAGAGAGTAGTTTAGTTAGAATGATAAGGTAGGAATTACAGTTGTACAAGGTGAAAGAAGGAAACATAGAAGAAGAATTGTGAAGGTAGAAATTATAAGGAAACAAATTGAATATGCGGTGTGAGCGAGAATGAGGAGTCAAGGATGACACAAAGATGAGAGCTTGGGCAACTGGAAGGATGGTGGAAGGGGTTTAAGGGAAAAGATAATAAATTCTGGTTTCACCACATTAAGTTTGACCACATCCAGTTCCAAATGTCCAAGAGGCAGTCATGATGCTAGATTGGAGGTCAAGAGAAAGGGGACTTCTACTGCCATGACACACATTATATTAAAAATCAATAATATATTATATACAATATTATATGCACATTATATTAAAAACCAACATTGGGAAAGAAAAATTAAAACTAGATAACTAAAAGGGATTAGATAATAAAGTTGTTCATCCTTCATTTGCTTTTTTTTTCCCTTTGGGATAGTATATTTACTTTTGGGTGTCATCTTTTTTTAGTACTTTTTTTAAAATATAAATTTATTTATTTTCAATTTTCAATATTTACTTCCACAAGACTTTGAGTTCCAAATTTTCACCCCATCTCACCTCTCCCCCACCCCAAGATAGCATGCATTCTGAATATCCCTTCCCCCAGTCTGCCTCTCTTCTATCTCTTTCCCTCTTCTCTTATCCCCTTCCCCTTCTATTTTCCTGTAGGGCAGGACAGACTTCTGTACCCCATTGCCTGTATTTCTTATTTCCCAGTAGCATGTGAAAACATTTTTTTAAACATATGTTTTCAAAATTTTAAGTTTCAATTCTTCTCCCTTCCTCCCTCCCCAACCACCCTCACTTAAAAGACAAGCAAGTCAATATAGGTTATACGTGTGCAGTTATGCAAAACACTTCCATAGTAGATGTGTTATGAAAAACTAACTCTATTTCCCTTAATACTATCCTGCCCTCCCATTTATTCTATTCTTTCTTTTGACCCAGTCCCTCCTCAGAAGTATTTGCTTCTGATTACCCCTTTCCCAATCTGCCCTCCTCTCTATCATCCCCTGCTCTCTTGTCCCCTTCTCCCTATTTTCCT